TGCTGTAGGATTTATAAGGATGATTCTTTCTAATTGATGTAGTTTAAAGGTCTTCCAGGCATTTCATTATTTCAAATATTATTGTTTCAGAAGATGCATCTTCTGTGTGATGATTTTCATCTTGGTCCTGATTGTTTTGGAAAATTTTGGAAGCCTGTCATCATTGCTGCCTACTTGGGCATTTCTGCAATTGTCATATTTATCTGGAGAGTTATCCTTCCTGTGAGTGCACCAACGTGTCATATAGAATATTTGTAATCACACTAAGGTGGGATGGTATAGTCACTGGTCCTTTTAATTTCAGTATGTACTATAAATGTCCCCTATAAGCACAACTTCCACTGCATATCCCACTAATTATCACAATTCCTATTTTCATTATTATTTAGACTAAAATATTTTAAATTCTAATGGAATTAAAAAAAAAAACCTTACATACTGCAAAAGTGAACTTGAAAGTGCATTGTTTAATCTCCAAATATTTCCTATTTTTCCAACTATTTTGTTACTGATTTCTAGTTTAAGTCCTTGGTGGCCTAAGAGCAAACTATACCATTTCTGGGAAGAGTGAATATCTTGTGAAAGACCTAATTCTCCTTGTTCATCTCTTATCATATTATCTTCCTTCACTTTTCATTAAGCTATACTCACTAGGTAGATTGTTGTTATTATCATTATCTGGCCAATGTTATATAGAACAGGTACATGACAGATCAATTAAGAATTAGGTTAAGTTTGGCCTTCATTTGTTCCTTCTCTAATGCTCCCTCCATTCACTATGAGATGAGAGTTGCTGACTTCTATTATTTGTCTTGTATAAAGAACCTCGTTTATACTTCTTGTCAGACGGGCTTACTGGAGACAATATCACTTGATTTCTGTCTTTCTCAGAAAGTCTTTATTGCTTCTAAACTTGTGAATAATAATTGTGCAAGATAGAATTCTAAGTTGATGTTTCTGTGCATTTAACATTTTGTCATTCCACTTTTTTCTTAATACCAAGGCTTCTGAAGAGAAGTTTCATGTTATTTTTTGTTTCTTGGCAAAGAATTTCTACCTCTCTGGTATCTTCTAGGACTTTTCTTTGTCTTTCATGTTCTGGGCTTTGAATATTATATTACTAGGTGTTGATTTTGTGGTATTTATTCTCCTCC